CTCCCTGGGGGCGCTCCCCGGGGGTCGGCATCGACCCCGGGGCGACAGCAGCGGCGGATCGTGCCAGGGTGGGGCCCAGAGGAGACGCTGCGGTTGCCGCTTACGGCAAAGAGGACGAGCGCGGTTAGGGAAGAGGGACTTAGCTCCTACCGCGGTGGTTATTGCTCCTTCGCCAAACCCGCCGTGCCAAAGCACCGTCGCGGTGTTTCAATGAGTTTTGCGCCGCGTGAACAGCCACTCGGCCGGTCCGACTGGTGCTGCGAGGCAGAGGGGTCCCGCGTCGGGCGCAGGTCAGCGGAACCGACGAGCGGTTTCACCGCGCCTCCTTCGCGGCTCCGAGCTCCCCAGGGAGGCGTGAAACCCCTTTACTAGTTCCTGTGGCCGTTTATAGAATGTTTTTCCCCGTTTGAGGTTATAAGGAATTAATTTTGTTTCTTGATGAGCCAGGAATTTAAATAAACGACTTTTTAATATATAAAGTTAAATTTACGGGACAAAATGTTCAATCTAGTTCCATTGTGATTGAATCAAGGGTTTCCACATTTTTCAAAGGTTTGAATGAAACATTTCACCCGTCGTTTGTTTCGTTTAATCCCTCTCGGCTATTTTGAGTTGGGCACATTGCAATTGGGGCAGCATTCAGCACCAAAAAAAGCCTTTTCTAGTGTTGCTTCACTAACTGCTGGTAAGGTAACATAAATTGAAATTTATTATTGTGAGAATTGAATTTGCGTAACAATATCAGGAGCTGTTTTTAGACAAACAGTAGCATGTTTGCAGTGCACTGTTTTTTGCTTAGACCCGTTAACATATGTTTTGAAGAACGAATGGCAACATTTTGTACCGGGATTTTCTCCTATGTGATTTTGGTAACCGATAGGGTTTGTGTTATGAGGAATTGTTACTGTAGGGGTAACACTGAGCACAGTCAGCTCCCTCCCTTAAGCAGCCCTCAACAATGAAACAAAGACAATCGATCCCCTTCAATTCCGTTTATTCAGATCATAATATTCTTGTAGTTTGGACTTCAACATAATGCAGCATATTGCACTTACCAGAGAGCAGCACAAGAGAGAAAGAAAAAGTACAATACTTCAGTTTATTCCCAAGGAAGAATAAGATGTTGTGATAGTTGTTGCTCTTCTTAAATATACGAAACCAACTGAAAATCTAAGGATATGTACACAAGATTTACTAAGTCCGTGAATATACCATTCAAAATTTTACAGACTTTTCTGCTTTTCTTATATATTTTTACAGAGATATACAGTATATCACACGCAGTTTCAGCTTGAAAAAACTTTGCACAATTATACCCCAGCTACAAGGCTTCTGGGGCTTTTGTTCTGTCTTGGTGGTGGTGGTTCTTTTGGAAGGATCCACCCCAGATTTATGCCAATGATTTATTCAAACAATTTTCTTCAAGCTTGCCCCCCCCCATTCCTCACACCCTACACCGTGCCAGAATGCTGAAAGAAACATAATTAAAATAAGTCTAGAAGAAGGAAGCCATTACATTGTGACAAAGATTAAACTGTATATATTGCACGTCGTACAGAAACAATGCAATAATGCTTTCATCCTCCCTTTCCCTCTCTCCCACATGCTTGCTCCTGGGGCTGGGCAGCATGGGGGAACCTAACTATATTCATAGTCCGATGAGTCCTCGGACGCTCCTGTCAGGTCTCTGTGGTAGGAGTCCATACCATTCTCTTCTGTCTCTCCCACTGGCCGGAGGCTTTTGCCCACGCCCTTGCGCTCCTCCATTTTTATGGTGTCGTAGAGTCCCTTGGGTCCTTCTTCAAGGAGGATGTTCCTTTCTGAGTGAGAGGGTTTCATTTGGCAGACGTTTTTGAGGAAGAGAAGGACAGGGGCATAAAGTACATTGGCAAGCCCCATGCCCAGGTTGAGCTGTGCAAAGCCCATGGTGTGCACAATCTGCCCAGCCACGATGGGCCCCAGGGCATACGCCACACAGTAGGAGATGTCTGCTATGGCATAGACGCTGCCATAGACCGAGACGTGGCGCACATCCACCAGGAAGGCCAGGGTGGGCAGCAGGGCTGTGTCCACCAGGGCAATGCCAAAGCAGATGCCACAGAGGGGAATGATGACCTGTCCAAAATTCCTGCAGGCTGGCACCAGGCAGGAGCTGGCACCAATGATGGCCATGCCTAGGGCCCCATAAAACCACTGTAGGTGGGGGTACGCAGCAGCCAGCCGGACAGTGACGTAGACGCCCAGCACGTGGGGGAAGAAGGCGGGCAGCCAGGTGAGGCCCACCTCCCACTTCCTGGCTCCCATGGACTCCTCCATCCAGTTGGCGATGGTGGGCTCCAGGAAGGCCAGGGGGATGTTGCAGGTGGTCAGGGCCCCTGCTACCACGGCGATGTAAGGGTCGACCATGAGGCGGTGGATGGGGGTGCCGACGGGCATGTTGGCCCGTGCCCCGGCGGCGCAGGGCGGTGCCAGCGTCAGCAGCAGCAGCCCGTCGAGCAGGCAGACGCAGGCCAGCACCAGGAAGGGCACCCGCTTGCCGGCGAA